GGTGCCCCACGTACGCGGGTTGTTTCCTTTTTTTTTTTTTTTTTTTTTTCCCCCCTTGGGTAAAGCACAAGCCCATTGTTAATGATGTAACTGATGTATTTGACTGGTTTTCATATTATCTTGTACATTTAGTTTTTTACCTTGTAAATTCTCTGTAGGAAAAAAATTATTACACATTTGCTGAAATTTACAATTCTTACAGTTAACACCAGCAAGTGACTTTATAAGGCTAAACTGGGTTATTCTTTTAAAAAAACAATTCCGTTTGTTTTGTAACCAGACTTATTCTGTCAGCTGTTCTAATTAAGTTTAGGCAATTGAATATTATATTTGTATATTATCCCACACACAGTAAAAGTGTTTTCCCATGCGAAAGCAGCTGATGGATTAGTTTTCAAATAGCACTACATAATGATTAGATATAAACGCCCCCCTGTCCGTCCGTCCACAGGTACTGTGTGTCACTGGAATCCTGTGCCACAGTCACCCAGAGGTCTTCACAGCTGGTTTACAGGCTTGTCCTTAGGGATTGGTGCTTTAGTCTGGGGTAGTGTTTTGCAGTGATGGCTTTTTCTTGCCTCCTTTTCCACACTAGGTAGGGGCATGTGTTTACCCCAGCAGCTTAAAGTCTGCCTGCTGTTTCGGTACTGAATTTTACAGCCTGACAAACCTGAGCTGCTGCATCCACTGAGCCCCATTTGAGCCGTCTTACTTTCTCTCATCCAGGTGATCACTCGGGATTTATATGAAATAAAAGCTAGTGTGTACTTACAGATGCAGAGCATGAGGTTTAGTTGTACAGCAGGCGTGTAACCTGGTATAATCTTAACATGAAATGACCATAGTTGGGGGGGCTCTTTGTGGGGAGGGGGGTGGGGGGTATGCGTTGGCATGCTGTGACAGGTTTTAATCCTTGGAATGATTTTTGTTTTTTTCTTTATCATGTTTTGTGTAACATCTGTCTTGTAGTTTGAGATAAACACTGCCCTAGAAAACCGTATCTTTATGTATTGAATAATCATCTCTAGTGTAGAAGTAGTTTAGCGACTGTATAGCATCTTTATATATGAGTAAATTGTTGCTTTTTGGTAGGGGGCTTGCAGCAGTGATGGAACCCCCACCCGCCTGAAGGTCGGAGTAGTCCAACAAAAAATGTGCATCTGAGGTGAAATGAACCAGAACTAGCAGGACAAGTTGAAGAAAGGGAAAGAACCTTTTTTTTTTTTTTTTTTTTTTAATGGTTCTTGTTTTTTCTTTTTGTTTTAAAATTACTTTTTTCATATGGTTGGGAATGCATATGCGTTGGTGGAGGCCGGTGGGGCCATCAAAGACTATACAATTCACCCATAATGCTCGTAGTGATCGCTTCTTTGCTTCATATGAATAATTGTAGAATACATGTAGTATATGTGCAGTTAAGTGTAAGATTATTAGCTTAATTGAAATAAGTCTAGTTGTGGTGTTTTGACAGGCCTTGCTCTCAATTTGTAGTGATGCTTTTATTTTGTTTGTACAGTTGTACATTTTGTAAACGTTTATGCTGTAAATGGGATGTCTTTTACACTTTTTGGGGAGAAAGGGCAAAATGTGCATTTTGATGTGTGTATATTCATCACTCCTTTCCCCTTGAATATAATGTATACAGTTTTATTTGATCAAGTGTTATTTTAAAGAAGAAACTTTATGGCTTCATAATCTGGCATGGTTTTTGGTTTTAATCTGTCATGGGAAAGGCCAGCCTCTTTGTACTGGAGCTGTAACATCCACTGTTGATAGTCTTTATGATGTGTGACATTTTAAAAAGGAAAAAGAAAACACTCTGTACTAAAATGGAGGCTGCATTTAGTCCTCTGCTACCATGGAAACTTCACAGGATATAACAAGAATTATTTTTGTACAGAAGAGTGCTGTATTTTGGAACAGCTTCTACCTTGTAAGCAAAAGCAATGTAAAATATTGTCAATTATATAAATATGAACATATGAGTTTTGTCACACTGTCAAAGTCATGTACATTTTCAGGTGGCCTTATGTACATTTCCAGATGTTAGATGAAGAAAAACTCATTTTTGGAAGCGGAATTGTGACTATGTATGATTAAACTGTTCTTCTAACATTTGACCTGTGTTATTGTTTGTTTTTTTAATCATGTTTGATTTGCCAGAGTACTGATTGGTAAAATTAATCTACAAAGTAATCAAACTTAATACTTATTTACACATGAATTCAGCCTACAGGGAGGAGGTACAGCACCTGGCTGTGTGGTGCACTGACAATAACCTGCTCTTTAACACTTAACAAGACCAAGGAGCTCATTATGGACTACAGGAGGGAGAAAGGAGGCACACACGACCCCATCCATATTAACAGCATGGTTGTTGAACATGTCTCCAGCTTCAAATTTCTGGGGACCCACATCTCAGAGGATCTGTCCTGGACCACCAACACCCGCAGCCTGGTTAAGAAGGCCCACCAGGACACTGAAGAAGAACCACCTGTCTTCAGCCATCCTGGTGAACTTCTACCGCTGTGCCATCAAGAGCATCCTGACCAGCTGTATCACAGGCTCTGTCTCCGACCGCAAAGACGCTGCAGCGGGTGGTGGAAACTGTGCAATGCATCACAAGTACTCCACTTCCAGCCATTGAGGGTGTCCACAGGGAACGCCGTCTCCGTGCTCGAAGCATTCTCAAGGACTCCTCTCACCCTGGTCACAAACTGACCTCCTGCCCTCTGGGAGGTGCTTCAGGAGCCTCTGGACCAAAACCTGTAGACTCAGGTACAGCTTCTTCCCTACAGCTGTCTTCTTAATGAACTCTGTCCCCCATTGACCTCCCCACTGCCTTCCTCTATACCACTACACACACACACACCCCCCCTTCTCATATCTCCTCCCAGGACTAATGCAGTACATTTCTGTTAACTGTAACACTGAAGTGATCTGCTTACTTTTACCATTTGTTAATGCATTTGTAGTTTTGAGTGAAATCTTGATTCACAAACTGTTACCAGCAGTGGCACCAGTAGAGTATTTTTGCATTGTACCTGTAAATGCTATTATTTGCAGCAATGATTTACCACCTCTAAATAAAGACTAATGGAAGCCAGAAGTGTGGGTGTGTAATTGAAACTGGTTTAAATCTGTTTATTTGGGATATAAGGGTTTCACTTATATTGAATGTTTTCGTTTCTTAAGAAACATTGATCTTGCTTTTATTTCTTATAGCGAACACAGACGCCTGTTAACATCTGGATATTACTGTGTGCGCAAATCTTATTACTGGGTGGGGTTTGACAGCTCGGTAGAGGCTCGAAGTTCAAACACCTGCGGAGGTCGAGGACGGTAAACAATTTGCTCAAGACAGCTCAACTGAAACATGGCGGTATCTTTGACAGCGTCTTTATTTCTAGCTTTGGGATTAATGCATCCAGTCAGTATGTTGGTAAGTCACTGTCAGCCTGTTAATCCTTGTTAAACAGTTTTAACGACGTAGAGCGTTACGTTCGGTGTTTGTGCGCACCTTTCTCACTTCCTGATATTGGCCACTGATCACGTTACTAAGGACAGAGAGATTGGCAGTGTCTTTATTTTTTATTTTATTAATGGTTCGTGAGTTTTGTTTAAACTTTAACCTTAAACCTAAATTAGTTTTCGGTACAGTTACTTAGAACTAACGTAGCCTACAGTAGTCGAATTTGCTTATAATTTATTTCAGTAATTGCTTAGAAACTCGACTGTACTCTGATAAAGATTATTTTCTGTCCTAGGAACTCAATTCCTAGGTAAAATGTCGTATGCAAACTTGTATAGCGCCTTTCTATGCTTTTACAGCACACTCAAAGCGCTTTCACATTATTCGGCCATTCACTCATTCACACTCCCAAACACACACACATTCACACACCGGTGACATCACCGGGAGCAACTGGGGGGTTTAGTGTCTTGCTCAACATGTTGACTGGACAAGCCGGGAATCGAACCGCTAATCCTCCGGTTAGGAAACGACCCGCTCTACCTCCTGAGCCACAGCCAATCCCAAATTTAAGACAAGTAGGCCAGTCAAAACAGGTGTGTTTAAACTGTGGCAATCAAACTTCCCATTTTGTGGATTTTACACCTTTTACTGAAACGAGCTCTTTTTGAACCTTAAGTAGAAATTATTTATGTTATGACTATTTTATACATATTTAACGGTTTCACCTTTAGATATAGGCAATTTAATTAAATATAGCCATATTGCAATGCAAAAAAATCTATTAAATAAGTAAAAGCATTTTAAAATCTTAAGTATTATCTGCAAAATGTTATTAAAGTATCAAAAGTAATTATATGAATATAAGCTGCCCCTCTTCATGTTAAATGAATAAATTCTTCCCATTATGCTTAGTGCTAAAATGATGGAATGATACTACCTTTTTACTGGAACTATGTTCTACTTGGGACACCTTTTTGGTGATAACAATACTGTATGTATTCACTTGTGGGTTTGTCTTCCACAATGTGTTTTTGAAGATTGTGTTACTTCAGTGAGGCTTTGAGTCTAGGACATGGATTGATTTTTCAATTGCTCTTTTAAGGAAAGTTATTTTTGTGAGCTTCCTTTACCTCTTGTCTGTTTTTCTGTCTTACATTAGGACAGGAAGCAGCATTGCAGTGCTGCTGTACAACAGTCATGTCATAATCTTAAGTACACACAATAATTTTATTGCCATCAAAATTAGGTTTCTGCCTTTCCTGAAGACATGGAGGGATCAGGGTTTGACTTGGACAGTTCTGGTTCTGGTTCAGGGGATTGGTCAGAAAAAGGTAATGCTTGGTTTAATGTTCAGTCATTATAAAATGGTCACTTGAACCAACATATATCATAAAACATTTTGTACATGATATTGTTTATCTCAATATGTTTCCAAAACTACTCAGTATGATTCGTGCTTCCTGTTTGCAGTCTCCCCAGGTAAAATTACAAATATCGTGGATCACCCTCACTCCAAAGACCTGACCTTTGACAATACAAACTTGCCTGCATCAGACATCGGATCAGAGTTTGCTCTTATAGCAAACAGCAAGAGCTTCTTGGAGAGCAAAGAAATTATTACAGGTACTATGCAGTATGTTACACTGAATTTGATTGTTATATACACTGTGAATTTGTATGCACTCTCAGTATTTTATGTTTATGTTCACAGCCATTATTGCAGGAAGTGTGACAGGAGTGATACTGGCTGCAGTACTGACAGGATTATTAATTTACAAATGGTACAAGCAAGATGATGGAGGATACATCATGGGTCAGCAGTCCCACAAAGTTATTCTTTAACTGGCCAAACTTTTGAAAACTGTCAGTGCTGATGATGCTATAAGGCTGTTTTTTTCAGTTACTTGTAATGTATTTTTTCCTTATATATTTGGGGTAATAGTGAGGCTTCATGCAGAATGACAGTTATTTGTACATATTTGTTGTTGTTTATTGCTTACGTATTTATTGACGTGATAAAATATGAAGGATCGTTAATCTGCTGAATATTTTTATATGTTTTATAATGTGTTTGAATTGCTTACTCTTTACCTGGGCTCATAGTACCATGGCTACCAGTGAGGACATTAAATCCTCTGAGGTTTAAGGAATGTAATGCTGTGTGACATGTACTATGGGTTGCTTTTATTTTTTGTGAAAATCAAGTGCTGGGAATAGACTGCTAAGAAAATTATATTTAACAATTTATGGCTGGGCTCCATTGTGTCAAATCCTGTGGCGTATGCTGTATTTGATTTTATTGTGTGGTTATAAAATGGTCACATATGCAGTTTGTCATTAATTAGAATATATGGTACGTTGTTAGTGATGTTTCTAAACAAACCATACAAAAAATACCTTTAAATCTGTGAATATCTACAGAAAGAGCTTTTCATTTTTCAAAAAAAAAAAAAAAAAAAATTGGTGATGGGGTCATGGTATTGTTCATGTTGGAGCCATCGTTAATCTTGACACCAGCCTCATTGACACCATCAATATTTGACCCACTGTAGTGAAATCTCAGTATTATTATTCATGCCATATGAGTTATAAGAATCTGGAACATCTCCGTAAGGATGGAAGAACAGTGATGATCAGCTGCTACAATGTAGCGGCTGTTTTTTGTGAAATGATATTAACTATTTTTGTATTGTATCATTGTTAATAAATTAGCATTTGTATTAGTTGCAACATCTTAATCCTCTGTCTTTTTTATGTTTCACAGTATGAGGAAATATTCAGAATATAGGCAGACTTGCATTCAACAATAAGAAAATATGTATAATAAATAGTACTCTAAGATGTATGTGTATTTATACAGTGTGTATACAGTATACACATACATATAGACAACTCATCTGCAGGGTCAGACATATTTTTAAATATAACAACAAAAAAGCAATAATGAGGCAACAGACAACAGTACATATTTTTGACTTTTCAAACTTTGCCTACCTTTTATTTATTTATTTTTGTTGTTTGTTTGTTTGTTTTTTATCAAGGACTGTTAGTTGCGTAGCTCACATCGGGCTGTATAATGTTTCGCCACCATTGGTTCAGACTCCCGTCCGTCAAAGTTAAGACCCGCCTCTTCCTGACCAACACAGTGTTTGTTTTTATCTGCGGTGGTAGGCGTTCCTCCGTGTTCGTCCGTTGGCTTTCGATGCGAGAAGGTTTTTATCTTCCATCATCAACAGCTTTGCCAATGTTTCTCCCTACGCTCGTGGAGGACATGCATCACTTTAAGCCTAGTCGAGATAGGTTATACACCACCAGGTGTTGTGGATGTTGCCATGTCCGGACGGGGACCATCATCCTGGGTACATGGTACATGGTACGTAAAATGGTTGATATGGAGCTAATGGTTGCTAGCACTGCTTTTTAAGTTTACTGAAATAGCGTGTTAACGTTACATCACGAATGCTGACCAGACAACGTTAACGGCTTTTGGGGAAGTATTATGATTGTTTTAAACATTTAACGCTAGCTGTTTATTTCATGCTATGCTAACAGCTGACGTGTATGTCAACACAACGCTAGCATTAGCAACGGCCTGCTGTAGTTCCAGGTTTGGCTAAGTGCCTCTGTCAGTACTCCTACAACCTTCAAATATAGCAATAGACAACACATGACGGGTGATAACACATGATAGTTACCAGCACCTACCCAGGTGGGCTCTGAAGGTGCCAGATACGTTGCATTTGGCTTGGATAACTCGTTAGCTACCAGTCAGTGGTCTAACTTGCTATAGTAGTGGTCCTCAAACCATAACAGAAGAAGTTTGTCTAAAAAGAACCCAACCGAAACATGAATTTCTATTAACAGGATACAGATTTAAATCATTTTACACGGTTTTAGGTTAGATAGTAATTGTAGGTTGAATCACGGAGCTGTGTTTTATATACTGTAAGTACCGTTAGGTTCCGTAGACCAAAGCACATTTGTCCCAGCACCACTCTAACTTTACAGCTCATTTACCACATCATATAACTGATGCTTTTGCTTTTCGTTCCGTTTCCCCTCGAGGTTTTGCCAACTGGACAGTATTTGACACCATGTTCCCATATTTCCACCAAATTAGCGATCTAGCACTCTCAAACTCTCAAGAGTTGCCATCAACTAGACAGGCTGCAGTTTGGTGCATGTTGTTGTAAAACCTGACAACAATGTGTTGTTGTTGTTGTTTTGAGGGTGTTTTTCACTTTTTTTGTTCATTTTAGTTCCACCTCTCAGAAGCTAGTGGCTCTTTGAAAAAGCAGTGCCTCTTATTAATTTAATGTTATCCGTTTTAGAGCATTTGTACCGATTTTTTTAATAGCATGTACTGTTCATATTTCAGCTAAAGTTAACCTTTAGTTTCCCTTCTTTCCAGCAAGGTGTAAGGTTTTCTTTGGAGTATTTACATTGTGAGTTTGACCTGTGGATTTTATTGTTCAGCAGCGTACTGTATATTGTGTATTGCAGTGACTTTCAGCTTGAATTGTAGGAGTGTATACAATCTTAAACATATTCCAAAAAAATGGTTATTTATGTAAAATTATATGTTCTAAGGCCACTGGTACAGTCCTTTTTAAGGTGTCTTTTTACCCCTCCTTCCTTTCCTCAGGTAGTCAACCTGTTGATGGGCATCCTCTTGACTGTAGCTGTAACGCACCCAGAGAACGTGCCCACAATCGACTTGCAATATGAGGTCATCGACCATTACTTTGCCTCCGACAGGATGTCAGGTAAGCAGTGAAATCGATATAAGAAGTGCTGTAAAGGCTGATTCAACCACATTCCAAAACAATTAGCTTACTTGTTTTACTTATCAAACATCTAAATTAGAGGTGTAAAACTTAGTCAATCAACAGACAGTTCATTTGCAGCTATTTTGACAGTTACACCATTTTTAAACAGAATTGGCAAAAAAGGGGTTATTTGCTGGTTTTCTTTTTTCTGTAATTGTGAGCTGAAAATCTTGTCAGTTTGCACAGTTGGTTGGACCAAAAATTATGATGATAATTGCCCTTTGGCACATCACTGAATATATTTTGTTTTCATTGGATTTAGAAGTGAGTAGCTGCTTGTGTTCATTAACTTAAGAGCTGATGTAATGCTGCAGTTGATCATGTGATTTGACTTCCACAGGGAGCACAATCTTCTCCCCTCTGAGTGTTTAACAAAACAACTCATGATGATAACAGAGCACTGCTGTGTTGTTTACATGCTGTCTGAGAATGTTATTGGTGCAGTGCCTCCGGTGTGGTTCGTTTGTATTCCCTTAAAGATTTTTGTTCATCCTAGATGTTTGTATTCATGGGTGCCAGCCTGCTGAGGCAGAGCTGGCAGGACTACAAGGGTTCCTTTTTTTAGTTTTTGTTTTGTTGTTGGCTTGGTGAAGGCTTTTTTTTTTCTTAAAGAGTGACTCGGCAGGAAAGGAGGGGAAACGACCATGGCAGGTTGACCTTCCCACAACAGGCTTACGTCAACACAAAAGTCAGTGGGGGTTGCCCACAGCCTGCAGAGACCATGTTGGCATACAGACTGGTTCAGTTGTCATTACTCCGGACTATTAGTGCAGCTTCATCGGGTTGCACTCAGTTTATTCCACAACCCTATGGCCATGTTTCTGCTTTAATCCGTCTTAGGAAACAAAATACCAATAATAAAATAATCAGTAAGGAAAATAGTAGTTACATTGTTGTACCTTTACTCACAAATAATTGGTTTTAGTCATTTATTGGGTAGAAACAGTAGTGGAGTTTCTGTGTAAACCGTCTTTCAGCACCACTAACATTTCATGAACATTTGGAATAAATGTTAAATTTTATTGATGTTGCTCATCATAATCCTTTGACTAAATGCGCTGTAAAATATTATACTGAAATATATACAGTAATGGATCTGTTTAGACCTAACAGATTAATAAGGATTGAAATGTGTTTTACACACAGTTAAAGGCATTTTTATCAATTGTAATGTACAGGCCCTTGTTTATATTCATATTTTATTGACAGTCTTTGCAATTCTTGTTTTCGATAATACATAAATGAGCTTCAGAGAGTTCTCTGACAGTTTCTGATGTACAGGTTGTTCTGCTTGAGCTACTGAATAATGGACAGTCGTGTCTGAATCGCAATGCTGCAGCAGCGCTCTCTCAAGCATCATCTCTCCAGTGCAACAGGCAGGACAGTTTGAGGAAGTGGGAGACTGAGTGAAAAACAGGATATGAAAGGCAGGCCTTTTAATTATCACAGACTGAGTTTCATTTTGTCTTTTTATAACACTACCCAGCACAGAGGGAGAGGCTTAATGCTCCCCAGGGCTGGCTTTTAAACTGAATTAGCTGGAAAGAGAGAAGCCCTGGAGACAGTTCACTGACGGTGTATGCAAATCACTGCTGCCCCAAAGAGCAAATATTTGTTCATCCAATTCACTATGCTTTTACAGTGGACATATAAAGTAATAATAAAACTTTGCCTGCATTTGGTCAGTGTATTTGTTCTCACTTTGTCTCACAGAGAATGCCTGTGTTGGATTTGCCATCTCTCTGCTGATGCTCACTATCAGTGCCATGATGGTGTATGGAGCCATTACTGTAAGTGTGAAGTGTGGATATGGTGTCATTGTTTATTCCCTTCCTGTAATTTAAACGACTGTCATATGCTGAATCCCAATTCTAATTGCATCCAAGTTTCCCTTATTTGCATCTTTTCCTTGCGTCTTAGTCCTACCCACGTAAGATGCAAGGAGAAACTGAGGAGAGAGGAACCAAGGAAACGTGTTTTAACTGACATGAGACACCCTTTCCTTCGTGTGAAGTGTCCGATCTTAAACAGAATTCCAATAATGGGGTGTGTCAGTCCATAACAGACTTCAGCAAAGGATGCACTCATGTATCCTCAGTTATAGCTCCTTCAAGCAGCCTCCTCACTCCTCAGAGCAGAAATAAGAGTTTTGGGACACCCTTCGTCATGGTGTACCAGAATGACTTCCAGGTCAAGCAAGGAACAATAAAATAAGAGAATTGGGATTCACCTATGGTTTCTTATGCAAATATGTGATTCTAAATGAGCATCATTTTCAAGTTGTATAATAATGGTACCAGAGTTAAGAGGTAAGCAAGATGTAACTGGAAATACCAAAACACTCTCCTCTGTCTTTTAAACTAAAATACATTTTAATCAAGCAGCAACCTCCAAGGCTGAGAAATTAAACCAGTGCACAAGTGCCAAAACCTCTAGTCCCGCAAACAGCCACTGGAGCCTGGGTAAAAAAGGGAGTCCATCCCCATAGACTCCCATTAAAATGGCCAACTTTACAGCATCAATAAACACATTTACAGCCTGGTACAAAAAACGGTTTAGTCTATACAGTCAGGGAAAAAATTATTTGAACCCCAGCTGATTTTGTAAGTTTGCCCACTAACAAAGAAATGATCAGTCTACAATTTCAATGGTAGGTTTATGTGAGCAGAGACACAACAATAACAAAAAAATCCAGAAAAATGCATTACAAAAAAGTTATAAAGTAATTTGCATTTTCATGAATGAAATAAGTATTTGATCCCTTTGCAAAACGTGCTTTAGTACTTGGTGGCAAAACCTTTGTTGGCAATCACAGAGGTCAGACGTTT